GTAGATGAGGTGCTTAGGGACATGGTTTAGTGGGCATGGTGGTGTTGGGTTGATGGTTGGACTCGATGATCTTAGAGGTCTTTTCCAACCTTAATGATTCTATGATTCTATTTCTATTCTTGACACTGAAATGCCATATTTAAAAAGAATAACATATGAATACAATCTTGCTGTACTTTTATGCCTTGAAGAAAATCATAATAGCACCTTTATTTCCTTCTAAATAAAATGTAAATGTAAATTTAAACTAGAAAATGACACTTAGGAAGAGTGATCTGATTTTTTTCTGAAATGGCCATAGAACAGAAAACCGGTTCTATATAATATCTTAAAAAAAACAAAAACAATGTTTCTGCCATGGCTTTCAGAGAAAATATTACACAAAACAGCTCACATTAGCTTGTTCTTGGATAATATTTTTGTTACTTATTAATCCCTCCTTCCCTGTCATCTAACTGGAGACCAGTTGAAAAGATCGTTTATCACTGAGTCAAAAACCTTTGTGGCCCCTTCGTGGGAGACTGAACCAGAAGCTTTTATATAGAATCCTGTTGTGGAAATAAAATTATTTCAGACCGAGAGTGTAAATATTCATAAAGACTCGCATATTTCCCTGGTTAGAATAGGATGTCCCAATGATGATGACCTGAAAATAAAGCTATAGGTTAATTGAGTTACCTAGAATCTCATAGTACAAATACCTAACACGTAATGAAAGACAGGTAAGACATTAATAACTTTACTCTTTTGTTATCTATGTATCCAGGATGGAAAGCACCTGTTTCATGAACCACCTCCTCCCACCTTCCAAATCTGCTACTCCAGCAATGCCAGATTTTCTGCTGAGTTCCAAAACACTTAGTCTAATACAAGCCAGTGTAACAAAACCATGTCAATTATCAGATAGAAATATAGGGAAGAGGTATGTGGATACCAAACTTATAAGCCCATGTTTATATCACAGAAAGATGGATACGTATGCCCCACTATAACACAAACACCATGTTGTTCTGTCCCTAAGCTCCCCAGTTAGAAAGAAACCCATCTCTTATAACCAGTTTACATAAAAGACAGCAGTAGGCACAAGAAAATCAATCAGTTCTCTCTTGTAGGTAGAATTCAAAAACAGAAATAAGGGACAACATGCAGATAAACAAGGGATGAAAGATGGTAATGTTCTCCCCTTCACTGTCTGGTACGAACAGATATGACAAAGTATTTGCTCTGTAAATAAGAGTATTAACCAGATAACCAGATAAGTGTAGTAAGAAATCACCAAAAATCATGAAGCTAGTGGATCTAGCCATCACAGTCCTGATCAGTCATCAAGACAGACCTCCTTTCCTCAAGGTACAACAGACCTACATTTGATTTTAAAAAGATTTGTGGTGACTGCTGCTTTAGTACAGAAAATAACAAAAATTACTGCAATGTCTCTCTCACTGTTTTTTACCTAGATCTCTGTTTTAATCTCCGCACCTAACTTTCAGAATAAAAGGAAACAGTCTTTAGGTACCTCAGGGAAACCCAGCTTGTCAGTAATAATTCATGAACACTTCCTCATCAATAATACTTAATGCAAGAAGCACCATAACTCAACAGTGATTAAGCTCATTTGGATTACTACTGTCTGAAGCACGGTTAGGAAAGTTTTAAAGAAAGCTCTGTGGAAAAGCATCAAACATTTTCTCTCAGAAAAATTACAGGTCCATTAGCACAAGTCAGTTAACAAAAGTAACTGAATCCGAACTTCGCCTGCTAACTGCAAAACCAAGACAGATTAAACATCTCAAGTACAGATTTACTGAGAGGAGAAGGGAAAGCATCAGAGGATTGTACCCCACCTATTTGTATCACTTATTACTGTATACTTCCAACATGACTGCAGGGCTGTTCCCATGTGCCATATTCCTGCTCATGTTATGGATACTTCAACCCCTAAACCATACTGAAAAAAATTCATTCTATCTTGCAAAATGCTGGCAGATGATCAAATGAAAAGATAAAATAAAAACAGAGAAAAGGACAGATACTGGAGAAGACTAGGAATGGTCTTGACTACTAAGTGGAAACAAATCTTGCTATCACGGGACTTTTTTGAGAGGACTCATCAGCACTAGAAACAGGATGACTCAAGACTACTTTTTCACGAGTTGCAAAGATTCATTGATAATTCATTAGTGAGTGATCCTGAATTCTGAACACTCCCATCAGCATGGCAAAATATCAATCTGAAACTCAAAATCCCTTAATCAAATTCAGATTTAAAACCCCTAATACGATCATAAATTTCTGAATTCTTGAATGCAATCTTGCTTTTTTCCTGGTTTTGTTTTAAACAAATTTTTGCTCCTTTTCAAGTTACACATTGACAATTTGGTAAAAACTTGTGTATATCCCATTTCAAACCCACATCATCAGTATTTTCTTTGTTACAATTGTACACTTCTGCCTTCCTTATATACATCAGACACCTTGTAAATGTCTAGAGGTTGCAAGATTATGAACAACGCCAACAAAAAAAAAGACCCGCATGTCACATCTGCAAAATCCTGCAACTGCATTTGAGAAATGTCTTGGGTAGTTATTCTTAAATAACACAGTCCAAAGTTCAAAACTTTAAAACTGAGTGATCAGCAGAATGATCACAATTATAATTATGTTTTGCAACGATAATAGGCCTTTTTGTACTATAGCTACAGCTTTCAGTTCCAGCATCATTAAGAGATTCTTCAAATTACTTTTTAAATATCCTTTTCCCTCAGGATTTTCACTTATACCTAATTAGACTACTTACCCCATGCCATGTAATTCCCTATTGCCAAAACTGCTAAATGCTTCAATAAGAAGGAAGAGGGCACCAGTGGAGCAAGGCAGATGTAGTGTCATTGGTTAACAATAGAGGTGTGAAGCAACTGCTGTAATTATAAAACTCATTAATTCACAGTGTTTAGGGGAAAAAAAGAAACCTTGGCAATAACTCTGTTGAAATGGCAATTCTTTTCAACACTACATCAGATTGAAAAAAACCTTTCAATTTACACCTTCAATAAGAGAGAATAGTAATTCCATTAATAATTATGAAAATCAACTTCTGCATAAAAAGTAAGGAAAAATTGTCAGCTATAGTGGCATCCAGCATTCATATATCCTTTTCATCTTTCAAATTGACATGTGGCACATTTTGACCCCTAAACGATTTTATTTTTAGTCTCATTCCTCTTAAGACCGTAAATGGACAACTTCCAAGACTATATTTCCAGAAAAAAAAATTAGAAATAATTAAAGCAAGATTAATTAATTTTAAATTTTACAACCTCTGCCTAACAGTAGGGTCCTAGGTTTCGTCTAGAACAGAAATATTTGCCATTTACCTTTGTGCTTCATGGATGCAAACTATTCAAATAGATGAGGAGCCCTGACATAAGATAGGCAGCACTAGGTTCTGCTTCCATCATTCATCTTCCATATACTGCTCACTAACTTAGGCAGTGTCATGAAATGTCCCCCATCTCTGCTAATGCTATTCTCAAACTTTCCCTTTATCTGAAAAAAAATTCTGAAGTTTCTAGGTGGAGAAAATTTTCTCTAGAGAGGAGAGATTTTAAAGAGAGAGTAGCTGGAGTAAAGCTCTCACCTTGAATACTCAATGTTATATTATTTAATTTCTGTTCACTAGTGGGTATTTCTTCTTAAAATTTCAGTTATTTTACATACAGCATATATAGGAATTGTGGTTGATTACCATTTTGAATTCAGCTGAATACACTGAATTTCATTTCATATAATTTGCAATGCTTTCTGACAACAGAACAACAGATATTGCAGGGTCAGTGATAGCAATTCCCCTATTTTGGCTGTCTAACACTTTCCATTATAAAAGATTACTGTGGCCTTTATTTCTGAGCTGTAACACTCCGAATGTTTGCAGCAGGTGATTTAAATTTATCAGAAAGAAAGTCTCTGTACTAGAAAAGTGGCTTTCGTAGTGTCATAAAATGCTGATCAGGTTTTGTTGAGATGCAAACTGTTGAATAGCACTATTTTAATTTTTCTTGTATTTCTCCTCAGAGAAATTTTGGCAGCATGTCAAACCAATAATGAATATAAAAGTAACATATATAAATACTACAAGATGGGACTCTAGATTTTGAAGTTAACAGTTGGAAATCAGAATATTAAAGAACTTGGGCCACTTGTATAATTATAATATAACAGAGACTGTAATCATAAGTGGGTAGAAGTAAGTTTTCCTGGATAATATTCAGGCACTTCTTGTTTTCAAATATGTGAGTACAAGTGGAGTTACACCACTCTGAAAAGAAGATTTTGTAGATATAACTGCTTAAGTACTTAAAAAGGAAAATGCGGCAAAACCTGATTCTTTTATGATGAGAATGTAATACTATCATGCTGCATTGTGCACCGTGTCTCCACATTTGTACCCTAAATCTTTTGCCTTGCACTGTACTTCTCTATTAAACAGTCACTAGACTAACTGTATGAGCTGGCATTATTGCAGGTTATGACCTCAGGGATCGTGAGGTGGCTGAGCGAAGAAAAAGAAGGCATTTTAGGAAACAGGTCTTCCCCATATGTGTCCCCCACTTCTTAAAGCTGCTGTATCTTCCAGATTGACCCAGTGCAAACTGGTGGCCCTGGTACAGATTTAGGATATTGATATGCAGATACTATTCTGGCATTTTAGTATTATACCTAACTTAGAAAAAAACAAATATAAGATTTGTATAGATCCTGAACATTATAAAGGGACATAAGAAGAGAAACAGGTGTATACAGTAATTTTGATGTACTGATTAGACAACACACTTAAAACATCAAAAATTATTCAGGTATATTACTCAAAACAATAAAAAATGAAATTACAGATCAGGGAAGAAAGGCTTTTCTTAATTTTGGGGTGTTTTTTCATACACTTGTAAGTGTCTTAAAGAGTCACCAGTTACATATGTTTAAGTTAAGAAAATATCAGCACTTACAGTCAGAATTAAGAGCAATTCTTCAATGTTGCTTTCAGGTTTCAACTGATCTTTGAACATCCCAATAGTTGGATGCTTCAAATAGTAATAGGAAGCAATGCGGCCGTATGTCAGAGGTTCAATGCTGCGATTATCCTATTAGAAGAGGAATCAAATACACATGGTTCCTACATGGTTCAATATAAATGGCTCCTACAAAACTGTAAAATATTTTAAGACTACTTTATAAGAGAGAACAGCAAAAATTATTTAGCATCATAATTTAGCTGCAACCCCAATTAAGCTCAGTTTTCAACATAAGTCTTCCAAATAGCTCCACAGACAAACTCTAACATCTCAAATCAGGAGCATGTATCTTGCTGTTCCCAACTTTTAGGAGCATGTATCTTACTGAATCTTGTAAGGCACAGATTAGTCTTACCTCCCCAATTTCAATACAGTAGGAGCATTCCAAATCAAAGAGGGATTTTTCAACAAGGCTTGAGAGGTACTTATTCATAGTGTCATGGCTCACGTCATCCAAGTTATAGTAACTAGATAAATTGAAAACAGATGCATTACACGAATACTTTTGACACTCTGAAGATTTTTAACAATAACGTCTTGTAGGAAAACTTACAAGGCGGCTATAATACGCACACATACTTGGAACAGCAATATCCACATTAAACAATTAAACACAGAACTATTCCCTTATATAGTCTAACAAGAAATTAATGATTCTTAAATAGTTTGTGGGAGTAACCAACATAATACAAGCAGGTACATATGGAAAGATGGTAATTTATCTGTCTATTAATAGAAAGGTTGATACAAACAGAACTGGACTGGCTATATTTTGTTAGTGGGAAAATTTTCCTGATTGCATAAGTATATTTTCCTGATTATATAAGTATGAAAGTGAACAAGCAATATTAATACAAGTAACAGTATTTTAACTTCAAGAGAAAGGAAGAAAACCGACCGAGGATAGCAACTGTTCTTAAATCCTGGAACTCTGAAAATAAAAACTAGGCATATAGTGACATCTCTTGAAAAAGTAACCTTACACCAATCCAAATGTTGGTGTTCGTTGTTATATTTCCGTGTAATTTTATCCTCAAAGTTAAAATTGCTAAAAAACCAGGAATAGGGTATTTGTTAATGTGGTTACTTCACATGTTCATATAAACTATATATAGTAACAATCATTCTTAGTTATCTCTATGAAGGAAAAATGTTTAAATGTGTGTCAAAACATATTGTTATGCCAGCATATAAAAAAGAACCAGTGACTGAAGTTTGCGCTCCTTAACTGTAGAACTTAAGCTGTATTATAAGATTCTTACTCACACAAACTAACATAATTTCAGGGAGAGCTTTTACCTAGAAAATTCCAGATAAAAATGTAATAAGAACTTGTGTCCTAGATTCAACAAAGGCACCAATTCAGAAAGTAACAATTACGTTCAATGAGCAGTAAAGAAAAACTGAGCATGCTCAGAAAGTTTAAAAATTCTGAATTTAAGCAGAGCAATTAAATCATACAATTTCAAAGTGGAATTCAAACAAACAAAAAATTTGATGATTTATTGAAATGTTAAAAAGCACAGTAAAAAATGTTGGCCGTGCTCATTTAATTCTGTAAAATACTGTCGCACGCATAGACTACTGAGATTGCTGCAACGATGAAGATGCTCCTTTGTTCATACTAGCTGTTTCACTAAAATTTCCTACAGTTACGATGTACTCGGCATCCCCACTGGAAACAATACCACATGCTGTAATGGAGATTAGGTTCTTTCAGTGTTATTTTGTACAGGTGAACAACAGGCTACAAAACAGTGTGCTGAGATTCATTTTAGCTGATTTTACATAGTTACATCTACACCTGAGTTAATCTTTTTAACTCCCTTTACTGCCAATGGAGAGAAACCTGTGCTTGCAGAATGCTATTCATCTGAAGTATTTAATAGATCTGCTTTAGAATGAGGTGAAATGTAATCACTGGCTAAAAAAAAGAACTTTAGACAATCAGTTCAGTTGTTGATGCTATACTTGGGCAGATGAATCCCATTCTCTGATTTAAGCTCTATTTCGCTTACTGTAATGCTGCTGTTAGCAAATTTCAAAAGATGGAATTGTGTTTTTATATACGACAAGCATCCTTCCATAACTGTTTTATTAACAGAACATGATGTGCATTATTATTTTCTTAAAGAGAGTTTTAAACATTTATCTTTTTGAATAGCAATAGCAAAACTGAAAAAAGCCTTCATGCTAAATAGCAGTACAGTCATTTCCAGATTTTTTCCCTTGTTATTAATCCCAAATTATGGGGTTAATTCTCTGATGCTTTGAATGTTCACTTATAATTGGGTAAAGTTGGAGTAAAACACTACTCCTGTAAGAAAAAGATTAAAAAAATCTGTTCTGATAGCAGGAAACAGTCAGCTACATTAGACAACCACAAAGTGTATACGTACAGCAGTAGAGTATTCAACCGTGTGATATTTTATATGGGTTCATGATGAGATTATCTCAACTATTTAAAACATAGCTATTGTCCAAAACCAAACCAAAACAAAAGAAATATTTATATTGACTAAAATGTATTATATGGTAGACAGCCACACATTAACAGCCTTGTGCAAAGAAAACTTATTTGTAGCAAAAGTACTCTAACATTGTTTTCAATGCAACTTAATTTTCATGAGTCCCCTTTTAAATTTACTGAAGTAATATAGTAATGATAAAAAATGGTCAATATTTCCATCTGCACCTTTTATCTACCTGAAATCTTATCACTGAACATATTTAGATTCTGTTTATTAGCAGAAATTACTTTGTAACATTTTGTTTACCTTCTGAAAAGAATCGAGCAAATTAACTACATGAGATGTTTAAGGATGTGAAATGATTTTCTATTTTATACATCTAAACCACTAATGATTCATTAGCATTTTTCTCTAAATTGAATATAACACCACTGAAATGATTCTAATTAAGGCACTTTGTTGTCAGGGTATTCAGACTTTCACCGTATCATTGCAACGCTATTATTTGCAGTACCACAACATTGATGATGAATACAGATAAAACAAAGGAAGAGAGATGGGCAATACACTGAACTTATTTTTTGAGACTGAAATTTAAGACAGTAATTCAAACAGATTTTATCTTGTGCTCTGCCTAATTTGCAGTATTTCACAATGCCTTTTAGAAAATATGTGAATTTTAAATTTGCTGATTTGGTAATTTTTTGTCAGAGGAGTAAATATATAGCTGCCTAGTGCAAATAAAACAATGTAAAGAAAAATCTGAAATGGTTTGTAATCTTGAGTGAAGTGGTACCAGTGTGTTTTAACTACTATCTATAATGGGGTAAATATAATTTTGAGCACACCCACAGGAGCTTCTTGGTCACTCAGAACGTTTTCCCCTAATAAAAAGCAAAGCCATTCATCTAGAAAGACGATGCTAAAATCATTAGCGAAAACAGAGGTATCATGACATTAGACAGTATTTTGAATGCACAGGCATAAATGCAAGTTGAATTTGGCATGTTGGTATGCTCCAAGTATAAAAACTGCATCATATGTGAGTTCCTCTATGAAGCTATATTACCTAACTATTTAATTACAGATAAAGAATAAAAACAATGCAGTTTCATGCTCACTGCATTGAATCATCTAGTCATTATTTTCCCTTTGCTATAAACAGACAGCCTACCTTTTTATCAGCACACCATTTCATTTATTTCACAGTGAAGCCCAGTTTCACAATAATTGACTTGTCAGAAACTCTAATTTATGAGGCTGGGCTCTGTAAGCCTTCTCCTATATTGGACTCAACCTGCACACAAGCAGGGTTGAATATTTACAATGCTGTTAACAGGTGCTGAGTTGTTTAATGATTCTAATAGCCAGAAGCGTACTGAGAAAGCCAGCGGGATCACAATTACAGGCTGTTTGAACACAACAATTACTCGTCCCCTGAGAGGTGTGAAAGTCAAAGGCAGTTTTATCCTAACAGCATCTAGCACATGGGCTAGACAGGCTAACTTCCATTAGTAGTCCATTGGGAAAAAGCAGTAACGAACCCCTAGGTATCATAAAAATTTACAAAGTATGTAAAATTTAAACAATCAAAAACTGAAGGAACTTTTAATTGTCTTTTAAATAATATATTTAAATCCCAAACCTTGTAGAGTTTAGCAAGAACAACAAACGGTGAAACATGAACTTATTTCTCTAATCTAAGGAAGTGTGGAATTTCATCAGCTGAGAAAGACGGAGAGACGTGCAGGAACATAAAATGTAGATGAAGTTACACAAAACATTTAGGATTTAATGTGAATGGTGGCAATCATTTCCTGTTTAGCTTATGTAAACCTGACCTGAGATCTCTCTGGGAAATTTTTCATCAGCCTTGAAATGGTCCTGCTATAACTGTCAATGCTGTGAAGTCATTTGTTACAGCACCATGTTTTTTATGTTCAGATTATACGGTAGTAATAGTGACACACATAATGAAAATCAGTGGCAGAGTCAGCCAAAAATATTAAAAGAAAAAACTTGCTAGTCGGAAGGTCTTTTGAAACAAATGCACAAAAAAGATGAATCTACAGCACTCACTTGATAGCAAGAAAGTGTGCTTTCTGAGATTTTACGGTCCTGAACGCAGAATTTTGTTATGAACAAGTATGGGGGAAACACAGATAATAATTTTTGTAAATTGCTTTACTGCAGTCATCAATTGTCTTTACTTTCATTAGCTTGTGGCCTTCAGCAGCTGTCATCTTCAAATGGTTCCATGGAAATGGTACTGAGTATATGGCACAATTGATGGACCTTCATAGCCAGAGAGCTATGAACCAATGTACCAACTCACTTCTGTTGTTAAGGCATCACTGACTGACTCTGGAGTCCGTGACTGGCTTGCTAAAAAGCATTACAGCATGCACAAATGCTGCAGACAGTAATCTCTACCTGTATTTTACTTGTATCGTATTTTCTTGCATCCATATATTTGCTTATGCCAGGTATGAGAAATAGACACATTGCTATCTTTAATCGGTTTTTAGTATATTGTACATTGTGGTTATTTAAGAAGATCAAAAAAGAGTCCAGTTTCTCTGACATCAGCAAGGTATTTGCCTCCACATCAGTGCTTTTAATTAAAATATTTACAAGAAAGTTTACCTCTGGAGATGCATTCATAAGATGAGAAATCAGAGGTAATAGGGACATGTAAATTTGCTTACATATTGATTGGGCATTTCTTTTTCCTATAATGTATTCCAACAGATAATTTGTACAGGTAAATCATATCCAAGAGTAGGAAGACAACTATCTGAATTTGCTTTCTGAATGGGGAGATGCGGGGTCTTCAGCTTTGCATTCTCACCTAAGACTGCAGCAGACTGGGGAACAGGAGGCAGCTCAAATACTCAGCAGCCTGGGGCTTCCCAGTCTGAGAGAAGCAGAAAAACTTTATTTGTGTGGATAGTTTGGTAAAAGCATACCATGAACTACATTCCTGTACTTTCCACATCACTGTGACCCCAATAATTTAAAAGAACAAGCTCTTGTTATGAAATTCATAATAATGCCTATAGCTGTTATTTATTAAGTATATATACATGCACACAGATCTAAATGTGATTGTAAAAGAAAGAAATATCTGTTTACCAACTCAAAATATGGATATTGGTAATTACCATAACATACCTGCACCTGCACCTTCTTAGCTTCTATTCTTAGTAGCTACTGCAAACTTTTCCATTTTATCTCTTAACCTTAGTTAATTTAACTTTCTTCAATAATCCCCCCTTCTGATATAATTCCAAACTAGCCCTAAAATTCTGAATAACTGTGATTTTGTCACTGAAATACATATTATTTTATCCTGACTGGCTGATATTAGCTGTCACCTCAATACCAGAAACTATATTGGAACAGTATATGACCATAATTTTTATTCAGATGTTTTATTCATATGTTATTAGACATGCTCAACTAATCATACTGAGAAAAGGAAATTTAACATAAAATATAAGTGTATGATGATAAAAGCATCAGTCTGAGATAACTTAATTATAATTTATGCTACATTATTCTTTCACTCCAGAAGACTTCGTAAGACTGACATAAAGTGAAAAATAAACCCCCTGAATAATAATTCTCAGAATGAATTAATAAAACAATTTTTTTCAGGTCTTCACAAGGAATTTACATAGAAAACTGATTTTATAAGTGTGTACGTATACACAGACACACTCATATATATTTATAAATACATAAAAAAACACACACATTTTAACAGTGATGTGATGTGGGCTCTCAGAATATCTAAAAATTAACTTTCAAATGAAAGCTGATTCTGCTTAACTTTACATATGTTGTAAATTTCTATTTCTCTTTTACTGCACATGTATCTGGAAAATATCATAACCTGATTTACAGAAAATGTTTCCCGTAGCTATTTCTCTTTTGTAGAAAGTTGCCGATTATAATCTTTTATAGGGTAAAAGAATGCAATAGTCAAGGAATTTCAGCCAAGGAAAGGAGATAGATGAGCCTCTCAAAATAGCCCCTTTCAAAGAACATGGCACTTTGCTTATCTGTCTTGTATGATCTTGACTAAGTAAAGAACATATCGACTAAAGTTGTATGTGGAATGGAGAACATGTTGTAATACTTGACTGAAGTAGCACAGAAACTTTGACTTAACATGCAAATTCAGAAACCTCTACAATTAGGAATAATTGCTTTGGGGAAGGGGAAGTTCAGGGAAGAAACTCTGGATATTAAGACTGATACACTTTGATAAAACAGTTTTATTTGGACCACCCCTCTCATTTGCACATCATCTCTTGAACAACATGCACATGACTAGTCAGTATGCCTCTGAACAAAACTAGCACTCAGCTATTCCACTCCCCCAAATCAACAGCTTAATTACTCCTCTTAACTAGATAGTTAAAACCCATTTCACAGGTTTCAAGATACAGGGGTTCATCAAACAAGAAAATTAAAATGGTTTGATGAAAAGAAGATTGCAACATGCAAAGATTTTCAGTAACACCATTAAAAAAGCCATTATTACAAGTCTAACAAATTGTCTCAAGTGTGCCAGAAAAACTTTTGTAATGACTGCATGTGTAGAAGAAACCTCGATACTTAGAGCAAAAGGACACTTCGATCTCCATCTCACAACAAAGTTACATTAACATTACTTAAATAGTAGAAATTGTAGGCATTCAGTAAGGCATTTTATGATACTGGACTGGAATAGAATGATCCTAGATTTGTTTATGCAGGTTTAATACACAAGTAGCTAAAACTGGCAATAAATGAGAATATAAATCTTCTGCATATTATCTAAGCCCATTATTTTGGGGATTTACAGCATCACATGCAGTGACTTTTATGCCAATGAATCCCAAGGCAATTTACCAATCATGCATATGGGAATTACTTATTCACCACTAAGGTACAATCACCTGCTGGCTGGAAAATAGTTCTTGTTTCACAGTGAAGAGAAAGCCAACAAAATTGCTTTGGGTCAGGACATGATAAAGAACACTGTATCAAGTGACACTGAGTAGGTATTGTGTAACCACCCAAACCAAAATTCAGCCATTGTGCTCCTAATCTCGTGAAAAAAATGAACCCTAAAACCTCTGAATTATTAAGGGCCACAAATAGTTCTTGTTTGGTAATATCACTCATTTCATATGCTCATCTAATTTATTCAAAGTTATCTCAGCTATCACTGACTTCTCTTCACAAAACTCTTCAGTTTTCCTTTGATGTATCTCATTCAAACACTGACCACGCCGGAACTGCTTGCCTTGTAGGAGGTCTGAAAATACTACAGATCCAGGAACTCTACCAACTGGCTAGTTTAGGAACTTTGGATGAAACTTAATAGAATTTATTATCATGTCAACGAATGGAAATCGTGCACATCCATCGCATTTGCACTTGGTATCTAGAAGTGACCTCTTTGACACGGTCAATAATGTCCTTCATTTTTCTTCCTGCATGACTGAGTACAGAAGGAATGCTGAGTACCCCTGTGTGGATGAGACGGGGTAAAACTGCAGAACTTGTGAACTGTTCCAACCTGCATGTGTAGCGTTCCAATGAAAGACTCCAATTTCATTAGAAAGTTCAATATGCATTCCTATCCTGTCATTATGGACATGACTAGTCAAGATCTGCTCATGTTGTTTCTCACTACAAAGGCTCTGCATCTCACTATGAAATATAGCGGGTTTTTAAATTTTTTTTCCCCCTAACTCTCTTGCCACAATCCTCTCAGAATAGCAGAACTTTTGCTTAAAAGTTGATATTGTGATAACTTCAGATTTAGCTTTCCATAACACTGCACATTAAAGAAACTGCTGAGAAAAAAGGACCATCAGTAAACATGCCAGCCTCATACTCCAGTGGGAACCTTCTTTTATATTGCGAAGAGCTTGCCTGTTAAATCAAACAACTACATTTCTATATTCTACACTTACTTTTGGGCTATATGTTGTGTCTTAAAAATCTAACTAGCACAGATACCATATGATCAAAGCTCGCCAAAGACAAATCAAGAAAATTACTTTAGCACAGCCATTAAAGAGCAAAACATTTTAAAATAACATTACTTATTCTTTATAGTAAAAAAACAATAGTGTCTGCAGTGGCATAGTTTTTGACATTAGTTGTAGTATGGATCATGTGTAAATTCCAAAGTCATACAACTAAACACAGCTTTACCCACATCTAACCTAGACAAAACCAGAATTTAGCTGTTTGTCACTCTCAGGGGAGAAATACCTTCCACATAAATGTATTCATTTTGTTAGTTATGAAGTGAGAGAATTGAATATGTTTTCTTTAGTTTACAGTTCTAACACTCTGCATTTTTTTATTTCCCAAGAAGATTAGATGGAAATTCTGTTTTGTGGGAGACTGTCAGCATAGGACTAGATGCAGAATTCAAAACTAATGAAGACTAAAAAAGAATTAAAGGAAATTATTTTATCACTTTCTGGCTCCCACCAGCAGTTGCCCATAAAGAACCCAGCTGAAAATTCAGTCAAATGTTATGGACATTAACATGATTCAGAAATACAACACTCTGGAGTACATCAAGAAATATTTAGTGCTATAAATGCCTAATTCTTTATTTGCCACATTATGTGGTGGGTGAATGATCACATGATAGGTAACATACCATTTACCCAAAACAATGTTGTGGCAAAGGCAGGCTACATTGCTGGAACAGCTCAGAATGATCTGCATACCAGCTGGAGCTAGGCAGGATGATAACAATCATTGAAAATATTGCACACATGGTTTCACCAGGATACCCTAATGAAAGTAAACTTTATCACAGAGAAACAGCTGATAGCTATTCTCTCATTTATTAGGAAAATCCAGGTCTTAATAGATTTTCTACAGAAAACTGGGCAGAACATATCAATGTGGTAGCTAAAAAAAAGTAACACATTATAAATACAATACCTAAAGGAATGTGATAATCTGGAGTTTTATTTTAGGGATGCTGATGTAGCCCTCTCAATAAGGCTATTTTATAGTTGTCACTAAATTGTAAAGTTATCTGCCAAGAAATGCATTTATATTTAGAGAAAAAAATATTAAAAAAATGTGCACACAAGTTTTATTCCATGTGTGGGCCAGTAATGCTCCTACATTGGAGACTGCAAAGTATTCTAGGCTCCAACAGCAGTGGGATCACCTTTGGATCAACTCTACCCTCAAATTACGTTTAGATTAAATTGCATTTGTATTTTCCACTCACGTTGGGTTCATTATAAGTCGACGGAAGAAATAAGTCCAGGTGATATAATCCATTGCATCCTGCTTAGAAGTAATTGTTCCAGCAGCAATTTCAGCATTCAAGTGGTCAGCCAGCACTTCTAACAAGCTGAAGAACAGAAAACAAGAGGGCTTAGCTGACTTTACAATCACAAAGACAGGTAATATATTTTGTAGAGTTGTGCATTAAAAGGTTTATTACTTTTAATTTGAAAATATTATATATTTATCTTCCGGTAAAAGAGAAGAGGGGAAGAAGGGGGAATGTAATTGCAAGGTCAGGTATCTTTACATGATGGTGGAATGAAGCTCAAATTATTTTTTGATTGGACCAAGAATGCACAAGTTTAAGTCATTCATGGAATGTATTCAGATGGAGCTACTCAGTGGTAACTTCTGAATACTGTGTGTTGACCATATGATCATGCTGGTTTAATCCAATGGGAAGACAAACAGGAAATGAAACAGTGGCAATAGCTCAGCTAATACTTGACAAATATTTGAGGGCTATTAAAATTACATCAGAACTGCTTCCCCCAGATTTTGCCTCATCTTCATCCAATGTAAAAAAAAAAAAAAAAAAAAAAAGCAGCTACTTTTACCCAGAAAGATCTAAACTCAGAAACACAGAAGAACAAAAACAGTTTAAAATGATTCTTACAAAGTAAAATACTGTTTAGTGTCATTAAATGGAACAAAGACCTCCATTAGGGCATCCAATGAGATCATGCCTGGCTAGAGTTCAATCAGGGAATGGCAAATATCCTTATGGATCAACCAAATTTTTCTTGTATTATAATCCTTTTTCTTTTCCTACTATTCTTTCCTTACTGCTAAAAGTAAAGAATAATTTGGTATGAGTAACTGTTTTACAGCTCTAAACCACTGATTGCACACTTCTGAAGGTAAGAACTGCAGATGTTCTACCCAGACTGTCCAGGAGAAACTGGATAGATGATGCAATAGCTATTCCATAATAAAGAGTACTTTGTCTTTTGTTTCTAATGTGCTATATTTCAGACCCATGATCAGTGAGAGCACAAGGCCTTTCATATGAGTTGTGTACTCAAGTCTTACAACTAAAACATAGACAAGGCTTTTAGAAGAAACTTTAATTAAAAAAATATGAAGTTTAATTTTACAAATTGGAAATACTACACAAAGCTGATAAATCTGCTCTTTGATAGAACAGATGGGAAAGCATTCTAAAACTAAAAACCCTCCAAAAAAACCCAGTTTCTCTTTGAAGCTATGAAGACTCTTACTTCAAATACTTGATCATAAAAGAGACCAAGACAACTCTAAGTTAATTGGATCACAACCTACATAGAACTTAACAATATTGCTATTAATATGTGAATTTTAATCTGAAAATGTATGAATTATTCTTTGTTTATAGTAAAAGATGGAATATATCAAACTACAAAGTAAATATACACACACAAAATGAGCTACTAGAAACATAGAATATTTATAGTATTCCAAACAGGAACAAGGTGTGATTACTACTGTTATATTGAAGATACGAGTTCTTTATTTAGAAACACCACTTACCTATGAATAGAGAGATTTCCTAGTTTATGCTAGTGCCATAAAGTCTGGATATATCATCAACAATTTAATCACACTGCTCTTTTGACTTATTAGCTATCATTTTGAAGAAGTTCAACTCCTAGCCTTTTGTGCTAAATGAAATATATATGTTAAAAAAAGAAAAGTGTGGTTTCCTAAGGAAATGAAGTGCATGTCTCCACATTCTTTGTTTGCAAAAATTATATGTCTGTCTGCGCACCACAGAAATTAACCTTCAAATACACCAGCCCATTTCAACTACATTTCACAGGTGGATAGCACTCTCAAGCTCCTACAAATTTCCTGACCAGATAGAGGTCCCATTATCGCTTATGTTGAGGGATGAAATCTCCTTAGGAGAACAATACTGTGAATTCTTCACCACTGAGAAAAGCTTTCAGTAATGCTCATGCTTTATCAGATGTCTGAGAATTCCTCCATGAAACATGCATCTATAGCAGACCGATGTAACTAGTTCTGCTTCTCGTTGAACAACTAAGTATATTATAAATATTAAAACCAAGGCATGAGTCACATTAAGCTGGACAGCAAACTTTGTATCAACTAAGTTCAGAGAGGCTGCAAAAAGGTGGTATTTCTACATTTCTGACCAAAATATTGCAATTTTGAAGTGAAAGATGTGTTGAAAGTGTATTAGTAATACTTTACACCATGCAGATTTCTTTTTGAACTTGTGAGACTTTGAAGAATGTGGTATCTATAACGGTACAAGTATTCTAGGTAAAAAGCGCTAGAAACTTGCCTATTTTTTTCCTATTAAGAATTTGTCACAGAATTTCACAGAGGGTTCTGAGGATCACATATAGTTGTCCTACACACTGGCCTTGAAGAACAGTTTGTGCTCTCATTCAAATGTCTGAGACAACACTCAGAAGCAGAGAAGCATTTGTAGTATTATCTAGGAATGGACTAAAGAGCTCAACAGTGCTTCAAAACTCATGGAAGAAAGGATTTTTCTGTTTAAAGATGGATAATATTTTTGGGAAAATGATTTTCCTCTAAGACCCCAATATTTAGGAGATATTTGGCACAGGAATTTTGTTTCACTTTTCTCTATCCCTCATCTGTAGTATCATTTATAGTTTGATCAGCTTTTCAGATTGCTTTATCTTTACCTTGATTCCACTGGGAAAGGTTCATAAAGGAATTTTTTGTAGAAGTCTTTCTTAATATCATGAACTAGAATTACAGCTTTTCCTTGGTCATCAAACTGTGGTCTGCCAGCACGTCCCATCATCTGAAGTACATCTGCCAAAGAGACAATAATGTATAAATCAAATGTATTTATCTGAATGTATAAATAAATGTATTTACATCTGTATAATGTGCAATACAGGATTTTTGGATTTCTTTGGCCTCGTATGCCCTATTGGTTTTGACACATCTAAATTTTTTTTCCATCTCAGATAAATTTATGATGAACTTCTTTCTGGCAGAGACTAACTTCCTGCATACTTGAAGACCACCCACTGCAATAGAATCTAAGCTTACATCTAATATAAATTTCCTCTACTCTTCTTCCATTCCACATCCATCCCTCGTTTGATCATATGCAACTAAAGATGATGAGTGAGAGAATTCATAAAGCCTACAATGGCAACTGTCTATTATTTCCTAATTTTCAAGTATTTGACTTCACAATAACAAAAGTTCCTTGTATAAGCTTTTCTGCTATATATGATTTCCTAGGTTTTGAATATTTTAGAGGAAAAAAGGTAAAGACAAATTCTAATTACTGACAGCTATGATCTTTATCACTCAAACTTCAGGACAAGTTATATTAGTTATTAGGACTGGAGTAGTGATGGTTTCATATCATATGTTTTCCCTATATCAGATCACAATATACAAATTTAAAAGCAGGTACAGTTAAAGCTTACCTCTACTACTCTGCCTACACATCATCACTTGCAAATACTAGTTAATGATTTCTATAAACACTGAAAATACTAGTTTACACAAAACATGCTCAACTTGCTGCCCGGCCACCAAGAGAATTATGCTTATCATCTGTTTGTTTGTGTCTTCTCATAATCTGAGAAGTGCTTCTGCATAGGGTTTTTTTGTCTGATTCCTTTTTGGTGCCTCCAGCTGCTATTTAACTTTGAAGAAACAATGGAAAGCAATTAATAAGTTATTACTTATTAAAGTTAAAACTTTTTATATTTTGTGTATTCTCTGTGAGCTCCATCATACCTGCACAAGATGTGGCTTGCAGTACCTGGCATTTTGAAAAGCGATTTCTTTGGCATCAATCAATCAGGTTTTGGCCCCATGGTCAGTTGGGGAAGGAAAAGCCAGAGGGTGTAGAATGGCATACAGCAATGGACAATAATAGGAGAAATAGCCCGATGACAATAAACAGTTTTTAGTAACACATTTTCACTTGAGTACCCACGAGCTATATAGACAGCAATGTTTTTAATCAGTTTATTCCTTTTGTTAATTTAGGAATGACATGAAAATGTAAAATGAAACTACTTTGAAAATGATGTTTCTGAATAGGTATGTGCACAGGAGGGTGATGAAACAACTTCTTGCTATTCTAATGTGGTGAATTAAATTGTGCATAATACTATATAGGAAATGGATTTACCAAAAAGCGTCAGGAAATGATTTTTGCCAATATCCACTATGTAATTATCCAAACCAAATATTTTCTTTACTGACTATATGTTGCTTGGCTGCTTTTAATCACTGGACCAAACTCCTGAAATGTTAAATATGATCCAACTGGCTGACTAAATGTCTGCTAACTGAGAAAAGGCCCTCCCCAAAACCTCTGACTTCACTCAAAGAAGCTTTTTTACTTATTTTGAAATTACTGAACACTCCAGAATGATTCATTCTGCCCTCAGCTACTTCCTTGGAGCCAAATGCATCCCTGATACAGAAAGATAACTTCAGCAGGGAGAAACCAAGTTATGCCATGACGGAACAGTAAAGGCATAACTTGATGTATTGTGAAATTTTGGAAGTATTTCAGAAAGAAACTCATTACATTTTCATTTTATTGCTGCTGCAAAACTGTACTACCTATCCACAGAACTTCCAGATGCATAAATATTCTCTAGAAAGTTAAAAATAAAAATGCTCTAAGCAAACCACACCACATGTTTCTTCATAAAGTAAGGAATCTGCATTTTCTGTTGCAGTGCAGACAACAAAATCTAAATGCTTCCATCACAGATGGTGGTATTCCATCCACTCCCCCCACCCCTAAGTCTTATTGAAAATTCAAGAATTGAACAACCCCCAATGCCCAAGTCACCTGAATTCAAAAAGGCAATAAAGAGTGAAAGTATAAGCATTCCTTAAAGCCTTTGTGACTACTTCTACAACAGATTTCTAAAAGAGCATAGTAAGTCTTCAATGCTTATCGAGTTTCTGATTTCTTTTGAATATATTATTTTCTCTATTACTTCTCTCTATTACAGTCTCACAGATTCAACATAAAATGTAAAACTTCAGTTGATTTCTTTTCTCATCACTTTCCCCATTCAGTAATAAAGTCAGTTGTCACTATTCTTCCAGTCGGGACGAGTGAGGTACTACTTCTCTGCAGAGACTGTTTATACTAAGTTTACATCAGCCGAAGTCTGTCACAAAATGCAAGTGTGCATGGCTAAGCTCCCAGGTCATACCAGAATCTTTGAACAAGAGAGTTGGTCTGGAAATTGATCCCAAGTTTCCCGCAGAGCACTAACCACTAAATTAAGCTCTATGATGGGTTACTTGGAGAAGTAACCCCTGCAGTATTTTCAGTTTGAGCTTTTTTTCATTAGTAAGCTTCTCTTGCTGAAAAGACAGTGTGTGGTTAAAAAGATCTCTAATTTACATTACAAATAACATTTAGATTGTCCTTAGGTGTACACATCTCTGGCATAGTATAGGATTATTTAATAATAAACTTTCTCTTGTGAAAAGAGAAAGGGAAAACAGAACAGGAAACCTGGAATAAATTTAGCTTGTCCTCATTCTTCAAGCTTAGTACCATCCAGACAAATATTCTCCCTGTCTGAAGTCTGAAAGAAGTTCTTCCATGGTTCACTTTCTTAAGCTTGTTGAAAACATTGCAGAACAGTTTATGAAAAGTGGAGTTTACTGGAGCCAGAAAGCAATAGAAGTTTGTATCAAACCAGAAATTCAAATATTTAATTTAGCTGCTTATTTTTGAAGTATGACTTACTTGAAGTATCACTTACATCACTGAAGATACTGGACTAGTTAGGGTTTTTCATTTACTGTCAAGTGACTACATATAAATTTTATGTTCTCATACATGTGTGATTCAACTGTTGCATTTCAAACCATGGCTAAGTTTACTGTTAGAAATCTGTTTCTATTTAGAAAAGGTTTCAAAAATGAAAAAAATTATTTGATGCATGAAAAATTCCTTTTATACAATTAACTAGGTAGCTAAATATAACTTTATATTGTCCCTTTAAGTGTTTAATGTCTATTTTGGATGATACGCATTAAAGGAATTTAGCATGAAGAAAGATTTGCAAAACAGAAACATTTTCATTATTGCATAAAATCCTAAGAGTTCTCTTAAAACTTTCATTAAACAAAGAAACCCTTTCCTCAGCACTCCTAGTCTCTACCCAAATTAGGTATTTTCAGTGATCTAAATAATTTCAGTTACTAAATAATTCAGATCATTTGCATATTCTTGAAATACATTTTAGCATATGAGCATTTTCATAATTTATGTGAGTACCTGTAATGGGATAATCCACGTAACGCCTTGTTTTTCCATCATAGTATTCTGTTCCTTTAACAATTACTAAATGAGCTGGAAAATTTACACCCCACGCTAATGTGCTTGTGGCAATAAGAACCTAAAACAGAAGGAAAGATTAATGAGGTATATGTAACAAAAAGCCAACTTTTAAAATTCCATGTAAAACTCATTATGGCAGGATTCAAAGAACAAATGTACCTGGATTTTGCAGTTCACAAACAATTCTTCCACAGTTTTCCTGTCTCTCTCATGCAGACCTGCATGGTGCATGCCTATTCCAAAAGCAAGTGTCAGCTTCAGATTTGAATCTCTAACTGTCACTATAATGTCATTCATCTGTAATAGAAAGAATAGTTGCATGTTTTAAAACAGATTACTCAGAAATTTTAAACTTTTAGGGTTATTATCTTTTTTTTTAATAGCAAGGATAATTTGCTCAACACTGTTTATACAAAGAGGAAAACACAGTCTTCAGTCTCTGAACAGTCTGGTTTTAGTCTAAAAAAAATCAAATACTATATTAATGATGGGGGGAAAACAAAATGCACATGACTTTACTGACACACTAACTAGTGCAGATAAGGAAATGAAAATGCTGAAAATATCTTGACAGATCTGGCAAATGCTGTGCATTCTGCTCTGTGTTTGTTTAATGCAATCCCTGGTATCAAAGGGGTTAGAACTGGTATAAAAACATAGCAGATCCCTGCAACCAGTAACATAATAACAGTCATGAAAAATAAATTTGGATCTCTCTAATGCCTATGAAAAGACACACACAGTTTTTCAGTTTGATAATTCTGCAATTATTATTCACCAAAAAAACTTCCTATTCACATGCTGAAATGCAAATTTTTTTTTTTGTGTGAGTTTGTAATTTATAGACTCAAACCCCGTAGTGAAACCCAACATATAGTACGTGTCTTCATTTAAAACTTTTAGAAGTCCAGATAAAAAGCTATTTTTTATTACTATTACTATTTTTTTCAAATCTCATGTCAATGACTACTTGGAATAATTTTAACTACTATAATTTTAACTATATTTCTTGCCTATGTGTTCAAGTAGTAAATTCCATAATAAGCTCATTTATTTCTGTAAACGACCTCTGTGAAAAAAGCCCCTCACTAATAATGAACAAGAGCTTTATAACTTCTGTCTTGTTTAGTGATTTTACCCTCAATATTCCTTCTGTTGTTTTATTTCTAAGGCCATTTATTATTTTATGTGATTTTAATATAATTATAGCCAGAACTTTCAAACCTCATCTCTTATTAGTGGTTTCCTGGTGCCACCAGCAGTGGCATGATGATATTGCATACTTACGGGCACCATCATTCACGGTTAACCGAGGAGGTATAGCCAAGGTTAGAGAAAAAATAGTAGTGCAGAACAAATTACTCAGGGTAACTGAAGAATTTGGACCAAGTATTCAGTCCCACCTCGGACTGAGTATCTCAAAGTACTGAGATATGATACCTGCATGACTGCAGTGATTATTTTCATTTCCATTTAGGACTCTGAGGTGTTGCT